GAATTCAATTTAAGTGTAAGAGAAACGAAAATTATGAAATGCACTAGTCAAAAACCCCAACTAACCCACTTTGCAAGCATTAAAAGGAGTAACAACCCCCACCCCCACCAATGTATGTGTTGGGAGAGGAGAGTGAAGGACAATGTATGTTTCTCACACACACACACACACACATGCATCTGACGAAGTGGGTCTTTGCCCACGAAAGCTTATGCTCCTACACTTCAGTTAGTCTATAAGGTGCCACAGGACTCCTCATCGCTTCTGCAGATTCAGACTAACACGGCTACCCCTCTGATACTTGACACCACACACACACACACACACACACACACACACACACACACACACACACACACAAAATGAGTGACAGATTTGCATTGCCAAGCTCCCTCCATCCCCCTCTCTGTGTGGAGATAGGGTACAGGAGTGGGGGGAGGACGGGCATCAGCACCTCCCCCCTTCTCCCTCCTACACTCTGCACAGCAAGCAGGAGGCTCCCAGAGTGGCAGCTCCAATGCAGAGAGCACAAGCAGCATGACAGTGGGTGGAGGGGCAACTCAAGTGCCAGCGCTTGATAGCTTCCCAGCCAAACCAGTCAGGATCTACCGGTTACTGACCACTAGTCTAACCACTGGAGGTAGGCATGGATTCCCGAGACCAGGATTGGATGATAAGAAAACAGCAGTAGCTGCTGTTGCTGTATTTGTGTACCTCCATAGGTATTGGGCAGTCTCAATTGTTGTTGGCCCGTGGATCACCGTTCGCGGTTAATGGGAGGGGCAAAAGCGGCATCCCAGTCCACCCTGCTTCCCACCATTCCCATTGGTCACGAATGACGATCTGCAGCCAAAAACAGCTGTGATCACCCAATACCAGCCAAGGTGCGAGTAAATACGGAGGTGGGGGTCTGTCAGGAACTAATCCTGTGGACAAGATCTGGCTTGTGGGCTTGAATTTGCCCACCCATGCCCTAGACTCACAGGTTTAAACTCACAGCAGAGTTGTCCTGGAGGTGTACTCCTCAAACAGAGAAACTGGTTACGGGAAATTGCAGGAGTTAGAATCTTACAAATGAAAACACAATTGCTATCTACTATGCATGAACCGTAATGATTGTGGAAGGTTTTATAAAAGTAAGGTTTTGCCTTAGTGCCTTTTGCAAAATTTTTCATTCTTGTCATGCTGTATAGTGGATTTTTGAGTGTCAGTTCATTGCCCCTCTCTACCTCCGAGATGGCTGCTTTTCATTGCTGCTGAGTGTGTGTACAGCCTGATGCTACAAGATACTGAACAGGGGGTGGAGTTCAGGGATAGCTCAGTGGTTTGAGCATTGACCCGATAAACCCAGGAATGTGAGCTCAATCCTCGAGGGTGCCATTTAGGGATCTGGGGCAAATCTGTCAAGGATGGTACTTGGTCCTGCCATGAGGGCAGGGGACTGGATGCTAGGACCCCTCAAGGTCCCTTCCAGTTCTGTGAGAGGTATATCTCCATATTATTTGTTGTTATATTGTAATCTCTTTTCCTGTTTGTTGTTCAGATGCAAGAGTTCTTAGTATCTTGCAGGATGGGACTCAGATATAAAATGCTTTGGAATTCCTTGTGTAGCAGAAGATTCCATGTAAGGAATCCAATAGGAATTTGATCAGAATTGATAATTTCACGTGCTGGAATGGCAGACTAATTCAAAGTGACTAGCAATTGATTCTGTTCCCATAAATCATGGTGGTAAAGCTGGCAGTTTTTACAGAGAGAATGGCCCAGTCATGGAGCATTCTTGAGGATTATGAATTTGAATTTGTTTAAAAGTGAAAGGGCATAAGAGGCTCACAAAAGATTGAATATGAAAGAGGAGAATCTTTGACTATTTTGATGAATTAGTGAATGGGAGTACAAGGTACATATTTTCCCCAGGAAAATGACTTCTCATACTGCAGCTAGAAGAAAATAGCTTTCAGTAGAAGTTATATTGTGTTTGGACATCATATATATAGTAGCCCAATGTCTGAGTCTGTAACCCTATAGCATTACAGACTCGTCTCTGGGGGGCGCTCTTGCCTCCCGCCGTGGCGCTCGGCTGAGTTCTGCGCTGCTCAGCTGGGCCGCAGAGGGGAAGCAAGTGGCAGCAAGCGGCCACTTGGGGTCCGCACTCCCCATGCAGCATGGAGCCCAAACGGCCACTTGCTCCCCCACGGTGGCCCAGTTGAGTGGCTCAGAACACAGCTGAGCACCACGGCGGGAAGGGAAGGGGGTCGGGGTCGTGACGTACATGGCCAGGGGGCGGGGCCGTGTATGTCACCACCCTGCCCTCCTTCCCCTCCCGACATGGTGCTCGGCTGAGTTCTGCGGCGCTGAGCCGGGCCACCACGGGGGAGCAAGCAGCCGTTTGGGCTCCCCACGGCTGCCCGGCTGAGCACGCAGCATTCAGCCGAGTGCCACGGCGGGAGGGAAAGGGCGGTGGGAGAGGGAGAAGGAGACGGACCAGGAGAGAAGACCAGTGTGGGGGAGAGACCTGAAAATCCCGTCTTATGACGGGCTACTTGGCTAGTTATATAATATTAACCATGAAACAATAAATTTTCCATGTACATACCTTTACTAGGAAGCTTTTGTCAATAGCTGGTGGGCTTCCTGCTTTCTAGAGTATAGTAAATAAAAAGAAATTATCTGAATTTGGCTTGAGATGATATCCCACAATTAGAACAGAATGTTGTTCTCTGATTCAAAGGTTCAGTTTGGAATTCAAATTAAATGTCAGATGTTTAAATATTGACTAAACTGTTTATTACCCTAGTTTTCTGATAAGAAAATTTTAAAAACAAGTAGAGCGAAAGGTTTACTGTTGCCCTGAAGCACATTGTTGTGTATCAATAGGGTGTGTTCTTGGCTCTGAGTACAGAAAAAATTGAGACCACAGTTCACTTAGATTTGAAAACAACTTTACAAGATTTACCAAGGAACTGTTGTTGTCTGTGTCTGAAAACCAAATTTTTCAGTATTCAAGTGTTCTCAGAAAAGTGGTCCTTTGAGCAGTCCATCAGAGACTGAATTTGTAATCTTCAAAGTAAGACGCAAGGCTTTTAAAACAAACGATCTCTCGGAAATTTAATTATTCTGGTAACTGTTTGTAATCAAGGCAGTAGAGTGGGTGGTATTTTTGCAAACAGAGACAGTAATTTTATTTATTTATTGGGATTCTTTCCTTCCACAAAAATCCCTAAAGTGGGACTAAACATGACTTTCTAGTTTATCCAGTAGAGATTATTTTTTCTGAAATCTTAAAAAAAGGAACTTCAAAGAAACAGTACCTCTTCTAGAAGGAAAAATGTAATCCAACCAGAAAGACTCTTGGAGTTTTCAAAACAAAGCATTCATTAACTACATCCAAGTTAAATACATTATTGTTAAGAGCCAGTCCATGTTAAGATGTTGAGTCCCATGTAATCTTAGTGTATTCTTATTGTTAGGATTTATCCTGACA